CGGCACATTGATCACAACATGAGCGAATTGGAACTTCAGCATGGCAGAGTTGTAGTTTACCCATCGAAATACCATAAGATGACACAGGGCCGTAAGCCAGATGTTGATGACACTAAGGATGAGCTCCCCCTAGTTGCTGGCTGCAGTATGACTTAAGCTCCGCCCCTTCATGTAAGTGAATGAGACGTTCGCCTGACTGGGAAAAATTTAAAATAAAAAATTCTGATATATTTTTTCAGGTGTTGGTTTAATTGATTCACATACATCTAGCCTTGCTGATGTATGCTCAAATATGTATTTTCTAAATACATTTAATTTAAATCAGTTATTTCACAATGTAACAGACTGTTAGCACGTTGGGAGGGTGTGTAGGCAGGATTTTAATTGAAATGGTACAGCCCTACATCACAAGCACAGGTTCTGGCTCAAAAAATACAATAAGGCAGCACCCTTAAAAAAAAAAAAAAAACAACGCTTTGTGCACCAACCTTTTTAAGCCAGTGCACAACCAGCCTAAACAATACAAAATGACCCTGTGAGATTAGAAATCTGATGTCAGTGCTTTTTAAACTGAGCTACTTACATCAAATTATTAAATATTTCTGTCATTAGAAAATAAATAGTGGGAAACATCCATCCATCTATCCATCGTGTTTACCCGCTTCTTCCTTTCTGGACTGCGGGGGTCACTGGTGCCCATATCCAGCAGTCACTGTGGAGAAGTGGGGGACACCCTGGACAGGTCTCCAGTCCATCACAGGGACAGAGACAAACAACACAAACAACCATTCACTGTCTCACTCTCACCTAGAGACAATTTAGAGTTACCAATCAGCCTAACATGCATGTTTTTGGTCTGTGGGAGGAAACTGGAGTATAAAATACATTTGAAGGACACAACCAGGAATGAGAATGTGACACCTAGTCCTTTCACACAACACTTTCAAGATGGGCTTAAGGTGCATTTTCCCCTCAACAGTATAATGTGTGAAATTCTGTAGTGAAATTACCAGTTTTGCCTCTGGGTCAGTAACAGAGGTAGTCATAGAGCAGAGCTGGTGTGTAGACGTGAGGTGAAGGCGGTATGCGCAGTGCTCAATTCAAACTAAACATGCTGCACTGATTCCATGGATTCTGGGATGCCAATTTTATGAGAGTGAGTGCACATTGTCTTGGGACAAAGCTGACTTGATTGTTTGTGACCAAAGGTCGCTTTGTGGTCATATCATGGAACCATAGTGGTGCAACTATAGTTCATTGTTTACCTTCTGCAGGTTGTCCCTCTGTATTTGGCTTTGTCGAAGTTTCTTCAGCAGCACCAGCTTGGCTTCCTCCAATCTCAGCTCCTCCTTCAGCTGCTTAATGATACGCTCTCTTTCCACTGGACTGCTCTTCTGCACAACCGAAAATCAGAACACATTACATTATATTACGCTATAATAATAATAATAAAAGACTTTCACCATGCTATTAAAACGAATTGCTAACAAAGAAAATGTTCAAGGACAAAAATCTAAAAACGTTTACAACAATGGTCATGGTGACAGTGATGTCTGGTCTTAAGTCTAGAAGGATGATGATGTTTAATGCACAACTTCAATATTTGTTCGTCTTACCATTAGCAGGTCTGTGTCCAGCTCTTTAAAGTGGCTCAGGCCGTTCATCGGAGGGCTGGGGGAGTCATTATCAGACAGGATGATGACGTCATCATCATCTTCAGGGGATGGAGGGCGCTTCTCCTTTTTTATACTGCTAGACAAAAGACAGACAATACATTTCAGCTTTATATTTCTATGTAAACAAAGTTAAAACCAATACTGTATGCAAAGAGCCTGAACACTGGATTACATCAGTCAAGATAGAAACTTTATTAAAAATATTAAAAATGTAATCAGACAATTTTAATCATCATTTTATATAAATAATTGTAATCAGACCATTTTTCCTCCTCTTCAGTAAGATTTGCACATCATCAACGTATTCTACCTCTGAATTTAACGTCCTTATAACTCAGGAACTTAAAGACATCACAGAGCATTACATTTACATCACCTGAATCCTTTTGTGCAAGTTGTAACTATAGTTCATAAAACAACTACACAATGATGCCATGAAAGCAAAAATACTTTCAAGTTTAGCTCTTCAGTACTTCAGATATGTGCCGAGAGATCCAGTACTCATTAGGAGGTCAAAAACATTTATTCCTACATGAACCAAACCAAACTACTGCTCAAAATTATTCAAATACTGGATTCTAATGAGTGTTTTCATAGAGGTTTGTTGCTTTTCCATAATTATAATTTATGACCACAGGTTTATCTGCCCCACTGTAATCTGACAAGTCCAGACACATGCAACACAAAAGTTTCTCTTCATGTCAATGCCGTTCAACAACAGCTGAATAGACAAATGCCAAGAAGGGGGCAAGGAGTAAATGTCTTCTAAGTCACAATCAAACAACTGTTTTAAAGAACCCATTTCCTTTTGAAACAAGATGATGCTACAGGGTGAAACAAGTGCCCGAGGCCTTTGGGAGTGACCTGAACAGGGTTAAACATGTCACGCAAAGCACACCAAGAAAACTAAAGGAATCAGTAATCCCGAAGGCAGTTCGAATCAACCCACAATGATCGCATTCTTGTGCATATTTTACCTAAATCCGCTCCCAACAATTTACTGTCTGCTGCAAAGCAACAAGATCAGTGGAACCATATGTGTTAGAGAAGGTAACCAAACGTTCTTATCTGCTAAACAAACTGAAGCACGGGAATATTGTTTCTATAACAATAAGGATGGATTAATGATTGCATTTATTATACAATCCTATCAACACATGACATTATGCAGCCTGTCTCTATCAGCCGTCCTCCTTATTCCTGTGTGTGTGTGTGTGTGTGTGTGTGTGTGTGTGTGTGTGTGTGTGTATTAATCTCTCCTCAGGGTTTAGCGCCATCATCACTTCCTGTGGATTAATCACTACTCTTCCAAAGAAGTCACATGACCTCAAAGTCATCATCACGTGATACACTTACTCCCTCCAATGTTCCTTCCACGGTGGAAACCATGGCAACAACCGGCTGGAACCAGTTTGTGACACACGGCTTCATTTTGTGTGAGGGGAGTTTTTAGGGTTCAGGTGGAGGCAAAATGGAGATGGAGTATAAGATGCACCTCACACCTACTCCTCCACCTCTCTCTCACACACACGCACGTGCGTGCACATGCACGCACAAGATCACAAAAGCAACATTACCACACGTTTTCATATTCAAATAAAGTTATATGCATCTTTTTTGTAAATTCCCATAAGGGAGCAATAGGAACAAAAAGTCAACACAAGTAGACGACACAAAAAACACACACGTTACTTGTGAAGCTGAAACGGATACTCATTTACTGTATGCGTTATGTTGTTTAAATCTTCACTGCATCAAACTTATTCATATACAACATTTTCTTTTCACTTAAAAACACACCTTCTCTTGAAAATACCAAGTTAGAAAAGTAAAAAACTTTTTAACAAACTTTGTAGCTTCTAATAACTTTTTCTTGTTCCCTAATTTGAAAAAACACCCAAACTTTGACAGTAAGACAGATTTGTGTACAGTTTCTCACCCTCTGGTGGTGCTCATGTCCACTGGTTGCTCCGTCTGAACTTCTACCTTAATAGTGGCCTTCACCTCGCCTGCAGCCAGGATGCCACTCGACACCTTTGGCTCCATTTGCTGGACCCGGCTCCGTGTGTCCATAGATGACTCCATCCTTGCCTTGCTGGCTCTGTCATTGCAGTCAGTTCGATTGTCTGAGCTGGGCTCATCAGTCTGCCGTTTCTGTGTCCGATCCTGATCTCCTTTCATCGGCTGTGAAGCCAAGGGTAACATTAAAGATAACGGCAACGCGTTCTGTTCTGGCTCCTGTTCCTGGTGATCTGAACCAGGTGTAGTCCGGTTCTCAATGTCCTGCGCCGGTAAAAAGTCCAGCTTAGATTCAGTTTGTTCCCCTGTCGGAGGTTCAGATGGGTCCAACTTAGGTTTTTTGCTGTCATTGTCAGCGTTGGAAAGTTCGACAGATTGTGGAGCAGCCTCCCTCTCCAGCGCCCTCTTCTGGCTGCGTGTCTGGCGGACCACCTCCTCAGACATTCCCTGAGAAGAGAAAACGATATAGAAATCATCTCCATAGTGTCATAAAAAAAAGACCACAGGTAAATAAACTACATTTATATTGAGAAAAACGCTTTTTTTTTTCTAGCTATGCAGCGAGTACTTTTTCATTTATCAGGCCTCACCCACGCTCCAGTGGATTTATTGGAGACAAAGTGGGTTAGGTGTCTTTCAAAGCAAAAATAAATAAATAAATAAAAACCAACATGTCAACACTAAAATTCTACCCAGGAATCCAAACCGAGGTGGAACACGTAAAAGTGACAAAACACAATGAAACAGTCTTTGAGACATTAACATAGTTATAATTTTCTAAAAATGTTTTAAGTTTGGGTTGTTATTGGCAATTTAAACATTAGAAAAGTGTAACAGCTTTACATAAATAAATCTTTAGTTTCAAAAATACCAATATATCAGCTAAATGTTTACAGGCTATAAAACGGAGTAATGTGGGAGCTTAAAACTCTTAAAAGATCAACTGAAAAACTTCCAACAAAACATTGAGACTGTGGGTTTTTTCCATTTGCAGATGTGAACAGAAAAATGGCAAATCAATCAATAAGATAGTGTTGTCAAAGAAAAATGTTTAAGTCTGATAAAAGATGGGACAAGTGTTTAATCTTCAGCTTCCTAAAAATATGTTATTTGTTTCAACACAATGTAAGTTGATAAAGTTGGCACCGGTTCCAAAGACCTTACAGTTTTAAAATGCCATGTCTGTGATGCACAAATGGCAAAGTTGACCTCTAATCCAGTGCACTTTTCTTTTTTTTTAACTGGTGCTGTGAAACAACAAACCTACATTATGGAGATATTACCCTGCACATTATAGTCATCTTTTCTTTTGTTTTGGTAGAGAACCCATCATTAGGTTCAGTAGCAGACAAAACTGACCTTGGATCAACTGCAGGGTACAGAGCCTGACTAAAATGGCCCCCCAGACAAAACACGCTGGATTAGAGTAGTCATATGACCAAGATGTTGACTCCAGTATGATCCAAAAACACGCAATTATCCAAATTTCAGTCTAAACAAAGTCTCAAAAAAAAGGAAAAGTGAAAAACTATGGAAATATAAAGCAAGTGTTTAATGTTGAGTACAAATGAAAGAAAAAACAAAAACTATTTCAATGCCACAAAATATTTCTTCTAAAATGATGCGTGAAATGTTGCAGCGATACATTTATTTATTATGTTGGCATTGGTTTTAAAAGTGGCTTACAAGACTGTCAGGGGACATTGAAGCATACTGATTTCAGTACAATATTCACAATTCATAAATACATGTTTTAAAAAACTTTCTGCACAGCCAATTTTTTCCTCTCTCTCTCTTTCAGAGTGAAGCATTTAGGAAGAACTCCAGATCCATTTCTATCTGACCTGCCCCGTCCTGCAGATTCAGTCCCATCAGTGATAAGCCACCGGGAGCAGAAACTAAGACATACAGCAGCTCGCTCTGTCAGACCGATGAGCGTTACAGAGTGTACTTGTGCCCTCACAGACATGCTCCAGTACATGGCACACATTACCCTGACAGAGGCTCAGCGATGTCAGAAGTGAGAGGAGACACAAGGAGATGGTCAAACATTCAATCCACTCTACTGTAGTTCTGACTGCTCATCTGATTTATGTATATTAAACCAAACAGTTCATAAAAGAAATGATATACCTGTAGGCTAATTATCAACATATTCCAGTAGACACTGGAAATGAAATAAATCTGATAATAGTTGTCAACAGAATAACACTCACATAAGAGTGGAAAGGTGAGAGAACAAAAACTGGGATTCAGCTTCTCACTCTTTCAGCACTAAATGACAAAAAGTGAGTGTAGCTCTTCCTCTATTTGAATGTTATGCCCGTCTTTCAGAATTTCACCTCAGTTTTCACAAAGATGTGACAAGAAACACATAGGTCAGGTCATCACAGCCTTTTGTCAAAATGACATGAAATGACTGTTCCTTCATATTTGAAAAAGGTGATTAGGTTCACATTAAAGGATCAAAAATATCTGGTAAAGCGGCACACATGACATCTACTGGGAATTTTAGTCTTGTTCAGTCCTGTCTATCCACTTGTTCATTTTTTGCCACTTAATGGTCAGATCATTGAGGGAACAGGTCCAGGAGGGAAATCCAGACAACTCTCTCCCCAAAGACACTTTCCAACTCCTCCTGGGGGGATCTCAATGCATTCCCAGGCAGGGAGGTGTCTGCACCGAGGTCTCCTCACAGCGGAACACGTCTGGAAAATCTCCAGAGGGAGGCATCTCAATCAGATGTTCGTACCACTCCTTTTGGCGTTGAGAAGAAGCGGCTCTACTCCAAGCTCCGCCCAGATGACAAAGCTCCTCCCCTTATCTCGAAGGCTGAGCTCGGCTACCTTAAGAAAGAAACCGATTTCAGCTGCTTGTATCCAATAGCTCATTCTTTCAGTCATGATCCGTGAAGGTGATCCATTAAATTATAGTAACTTCACTTTAAATTGATATTTGTTGGTATTTACTACTGGCACTATCATCATCTTTGCTTGTAAAAAAGATATTTAATATTTAATATTAACAATATATGGCTTGTGTTAACTTAAAAACAAACAAACTGGAATCAAAACCTTTTTTACCGGACTTACCTCAGCACACCAAATATGTCGGACACTGAAAATGATTGAAAATCATGATGGGTGGAATACAAATCAATTAATTAAATTCTATTGTATTTATTTATATAGCGCCAAGTCACAACAGTGATCTCAGGGCACTGAACAGAAACATTCACAGACATTATAAATGCCAACTGAAAAAGTTGTCTGTCTAAGGAAGGAAGGAAAGAAGGAAGCCAGCAGACGCATTGAGTCTTCATTTCAATTAATCAATCACAGATTTTATGTACATCTGCATTGATAGTATTTCTGTTTTATAACTAACCATGTTTTTTGTGATAGAAATATGTGAAAATATATTTCATGTACAGCTGGCCTGATGGATACATAATGTTTTAAGAAGCTCAGATATTTAAACACATCTAAATCTTACTTCTTTTTTTACATTTGAACTTTGACATTTTATAAATATACAGTACTTCAACATACTCATCTAAATATACCCTATTTTTAGGATGTGGCTAAACTGGAGAATCAACAGTGAAACTGTGGCCTGAAATTGATAAATGCACAATAAATGCTCTTAGTTATTGTCAAAATGGCATACTATAATTGATCATTTGAATAGAAATAATCAAAGAGGAAACTACAGTAGATTTTGACAAGGAACAAACTATGTTTAGCCTTAAATCCTGAGTTAAATCAGAAATAACTGTGCAGGAACATGGACTGCACTATGGTCATCTGCTGTATATGCTATGCAATATGAACCCATCATGTCCAAAAAAAGATAAAACGAAAATACTTTTGTGCATGTACAGGTTATTTGAAATCGACTAGCGATTCTCAGATGTGGAAAATGTAAACATGTTTGTTCTATGTGGCAGGGTACCATAAGAGAGAAGACAAGACCTGCTGGAGGTTCACCAAACGTTCAACAGAAGGCCCACTAACACCAAGCATTTTAGTGGTCATTGGATTAACAGGAGAAAAACCCAACGAAGTTCAGTCAAGTCCTCTGGACGATTTCTTTTTGTTAAAACGTTTCGCCTTTCATCCAAAAAGACCTCATCAGTTTGAGAAGCCACAACAAAATCCATCCCATAAGCAGCACAATCACATAGTGGGCCAACCAGTTTGATGGTGATAGGATAGTTTCTGGAGTCCGCCCTCTCCTGTCAACTCGTCTGAGGCAGGCACTGCCAATGTATTTCAAAACATCAAAGTTCATGCTCAATAATTCAGGTAAAAAAGTCCAACAAAGTCAGACCCTCAGGACAGTTTCTTTTTGTTGAAACGTTTTCGTCTTCCATCCAAAAGACTTCATCAGCCCACTATGTGAAGGTGCTACTTATAGGACAGGGTTTGTTGTGGCTCCTCAGACTGATGAATTCCTTTGGATGAAAGACAAAATGTTTCAACAAAAAGAACATGGCCAGAGGACCTGACCTAACTTTGTTGGATATTTTACCTGGATTATTGAAGATGAACCTTGAAGAAGGAGATTAACTTTGTAGTTATATGAATCAACCATATTCATTTTGTTCAGAAAAAAAAAAGACACTGCCTTTCAATCTGTCAAGGCATGCCCAGTGCAGGCGCTGGCCCAGTGTTACAGGAAGTTATGGTTTTTGGGGGGTGGTGTAAAATGACTACTCTACCAACCTGAGCTACTTCTACACCACGCAGACTTTCACCCCCTCCTCTTCCTGTTCCTTAAGAAGTTATGGCGACCAGCATCAAGAACACTAGGGTAGTCATGACATACCTATACAGTAAGCACACGGTGCCATAACGCAGCATGCAGAGCAATGATCTGATAACAGACAGCTGACCAAGTTTTTAATACTTTGACATCACTGAGACACACATGACATGACCCTTCCCAGGATTCAGTGGGACACACAAAGCACTCTTCCTGAGAACCGGTTTAAACCGGTTGGCGTATGTGTATGTGTGTGTGTGTGTGTGTGTGTGTGTGTGTGTGTGTGTG